TGGAGTGTTGGGAATGGAAGTGGCACCAGAGGTGAGGGGTAAGACGCAAACAAAACCGGAGAGGGGAAAGAAGGGAGTTCCCCTCCTCCCACGGCCCCACTGCCCATCTGCAAGCACGTTGGGGTAATCCAGCACCTCTGCACTCAGCTGTTTAAAGTTTTCCTGTTTTCATCAGTTTTGACATGGATGTTTACGTTGGCACTTTCTTGTATTCATATGTGTATGATATCTAGTGTCTTGCAGTGAAAATGGGCCATGAAATCATACTTCTCTACTAGTCCTTAGTAAGTTCAGCACTTTCACCTTTTCTTTATTATGGTCAAGTTCATCCTATCTTTGTTTGACCTTGACAGATAGAAACAAATTAACTTTACACCTGAGGAGCACCTAGAACATGAGGCCAAAGAGGGATAGACCGGCTCCTCTCATGGCACTTGCCTATTTCTAGGCCAGTAGTGAACAGGTGATGGAAAGGATCACCCATGTACTCTAGACAGATGAATGTTTGTGTACTAATGTTTAAAGCTTACATGCCATAATTCCAGTGTAACGCAGCCCAAGCAGTGTGAACAGTTAAATCACAAGTGATTGTTTGCATGCTTGGGCAAGTGGAGACTTGAGGCCTGCCTGACCTGCCTCCTTATCTGCTTGGAAGCCCAGTGAATTCCCCTCTGTCTCCTCCTCTATAAAATGGGGCTATGGCAGAGTTCGCCTTACAGGGGGAATATGGAAAATTGGTGTCCGGCATTTAGTGCAGGGCTCAGCCTATGTAAATTGTTCCACAGCTACTAGCCATTGGACATCACTGCTGTCAGCATCAGTAATGACCGAGGGCCAGAGAGCAAATCAGAGCCTTGCTGCTCGCACCCCAGTGTTCCCTCTCTGAGCCTATTTCCTTCTCTCTAAGGTCCCTCCCTGGTGGGGTGTTGTGAGCATTAAGGGAAGACTGAGTACTCAGCAGAGCTTCAGTTCAATCCATGCTGTTTAATTTTAAGGTCACGGAGCTCCCTGGTAGGCAGACTGTTTTCTTAAAGTAGCACTTCCCTGAAAAAAAAAAAAAAAAAAAAAACAACTCACTGCTCTCTGGGGGCTTATGCAAGCCATTACCTTTCTTGCCATTTTTAGTTGAGAGCCATCCAGGTGATGGGTGTTAGTCCATTCCTTGGGAAGGACCCCCAGGGGCTATGAATTTGCAATTACCCCACAAATTAAGTTAGGGCTAGGGCCAGGACTTCAAATCCCCTCCATTCTGAGTCCCTGTTACCCCAAACTGAGGCCCCATTAACTCCCTATCAGAGGTTGTATTATTCCACAGCCATAGCCACAGCCCTCCTGGACCATCTGAGAGCAGCAGCTCCCACCACAAATTATAAAACAGCCAATTACCTGAGGTGCTGGAGGCTTCTGGGAAGACCACTGAGCCTTCTGCTTCCCCACTGAATCAGAAGTGAAGCCTATCTTCTTGAACCTATCTCCTCCCACCCACCCCACCTTTTCCTGTTGGAGGCCCAGGGAAGAAGCAGTTTGCTTAAGCTTAGTGACTGGTGCAAGAGCAGCTACCAAAACCCAGCTTTTTGTTGGGAGGAAGGCAGCAAGGATTTTCCCTTGAGCTGTCAAGCCTAGAACCAGGAGAAGACAAAGACAGAGCAAGAGTGGGTACAGCCCAGGAGCTGGAAACGCTAGAGATACTCCCTATGGCAGCTAGGTCTGGAGACCCTATGGGGAACACTCAGTAGGCTTGAGATGGGAGCAGGTATGGGACCTTCCCTAGAAAGATGATTAGAAAAGATGATAGAAAAGATGATTCCTTTTCTAAATCTGGGACTCTGTTGCTAACATGAATATGCTGGCCTGTGGGTCTAGCATATAGGCTTTATCTAAAGAGGCATCTTTGCCCCTGTTGCTCTGTAAGAATGCAGGACCCATGCGGCCATATCTCCTGATAAGGTGGCTACAGAGTTAGGATTTTATGTGAAACCTCAACAAATGTTGGCAGACCATCACACTGTCAAACAAAACTGCCAGATTGGGGGCAGGGGCTGCCAGTGTACTCCCCTGTCATCAAAGCTCTGTGAGTACTCACAAGAGGTTTGGCCTCATGGAAGATAATGGACCTGCAGAAACAAAGTCTCCAGGGTAGCTCCACAAGTGGGAGGTGGGGGGAAGGTACAGGTACATCCCCCTCTAGACTTTTATAACAGAAGGGCAGTATGGCTCCTGGCCACCATCTCATGCTGAGTGTGTCCTACCAGTGTATGCAGCTGGCAAAGCAGCCACCTCAGGCATCCCGAGTATCTACGCCCCCAGCACCTATGCTTACCTTTCCCCTGCCAAGACCCCACCCCCAGCAACCATGATTCCCATGGGCCCTGTCTACAATGGATACTCAGGAGACTTCGACAAGAATAGCTCAGGTAAGCTCTGGTGGGACCAGAAGCAGCTGGGGCAGGGGTGGGCTGGGTATTTGGGCACTAAAGGGTGTGGGGCTGGAAGAAAGAGGGAATCGGGGACAGAGGAGGGCGCTGGGAATGCAGGGCTTTGCTCCAGGAGGGGCAGCTACTGACAGCCAGTCTACCCCAGTAGGTGGCTGTAGCTCCCAGGTACCCCTGCTTCGTGATACAGATAGCAGTATGACTTCTGGTAAGACCTGAGCAGAGTTGGACATACCTGTAGGGGTGGGAGGCTGAGTAAACACCTAAACTGATCACCTCCATCTCTTGTCTCTAGAAGTCCGTAGTGGCTACAGAATTCAGGCCAACCAGCAGGATGATTCCATGCGGGTCCTGTACTACATGGAGCAAGAACTAGCCAACTTTGACCCTTCTCAACCTGGCCCCTTCAACGGCCGTGTAGAGAGGGGTGAGAAGCCTTAAGAATTTGAGGGGTTCCAGAGGGGAGTTGGGGAAGCATGTCTCCCTGATTACCTGTCCCAGGGATGCTTGCTCCTTCCCTACTGAGGCCATAGTGAGAAGTGTATGGAATGCTGCATATCACCCTAAGCAGATGAGAAGCCTAGGGCTCTTGTTGAGTGTATTAGCCAAGTGGTGACACTCCTAGACCTGGAGTGCCTGGCATTAAGTCTTGACCTAGCAGTCAGTGACACTTCCTTTCCCTACAGCCATGAGTGAAGTCACGTCCCTCCATGAAGACGACTGGAGATCTCGGCCTTCCAGGGCCCCTGCCCTCACCCCGATCCGGGATGAGGAATGGGGTCAACACTTCCCTCGGAGCCCCAGGAGGTGGGAGCAAGAGCCCCTCACAGAGCGGCCCAAGAGTGGCTGGGGGACAGGTCGGCCCCGGGCCCGCTCTGTGGATGCTTTGGATGACCTCACACGGCCAGGCTCTGCAGAATCGGGGAAGTCTCCCCCAAGTAGTGGAAGGAGAGGCCGAGCTTATGCACCCCCACGAAGCCGCAGCCGTGATGACCTCTACGACCAGGAAGACCCAAGGGGCTTTCCACGCTCCCAGGAACCCCACTTCGATGACTTCAAGCCTAGGGACCGCCCTTATGCTGGCCCTAAGTCTCGCCACCACCGCTCCCAGGACCCCCAATATGATGGGCGGGTTTTGGAAGAGGCATTGAGGAAAAAGGGGCCAGGAGAAAGGAGACCTTACAGGGAGGAAGAGAAAGAGGGGGCCTACTACCCACCCCCCCCTCCCCCTTACTCTGAGACTGACTCCCAGGCCTCACGGGAGCGGAGGCTTAGGAAGGTGAGTGGACAGCCTTCCCTGGCTTTAAGACTTTCCTGGCTGCTCTCATCCAGGCCTCTTGAGCTCACACCCTTTTCTTTCTCTTTTGCAGAACTTGGCCCTGAGTCGGGAAAGTTTAGTCGTCTGATCTCGTTTTGTATGTAGTTTTTGTACTTTTTTTTCGATTTGAGGAACTGTTGATGATTCTCAAAAGTATAATAAAATATGTGATCAAGAGGCCTAAATCTGGAGGGAAACATTTGTTTTGCCGCATAAGGTGCGGAGCCCCGAGAGCTATCGTTTGTTTGCACAAGGCTTCATGTGTCTTCCTTTCCCAGGACTTTTTGCCCTGGGCCAGGAGGAAAGGACCGACTTGGCCTTCGCGCTCCCTAGGCAGGAGAGTACGTGCCCCACACTCGCTCCGCCCTGCTTTGCGTGCGCGCTCCAGCCCCGCCCAGACGTGCGCATGCGCTCCCGAGCTTCTGCTTTCGAATAGCTTAGCCTCAATGCCGGGAACGCGCGTGCGCGCTCCTCTCCGATTCCACTCCATTCACTTTTCCCCAGCTCCTGACTATAGTCTCCAAACTCCACAGTCTGACTCGGTCCCGGGCGTTCCATCCGGGGCCGCATTCCACCCGGGCGGCCCAGGGGAGTGGCAGCGACTCCGTGTTCCGCAGACACCCGGGCCGGCGCGCGCCCGACCGCCATCCGAGACAAATAGCGTGCGCGTCCCCCGGGGGTTACCCTCCCCCGCCGAGCGCGTGTCGGCCCGGGGCTCGCGCTGCCGCCGCCGCCGCCGCGCGCGCGCGCGCAGCACAAGTAAAGGAAGGAAAAAAAAGGAAAAAATAGAAAGCGGCGGCCGCTGCAGCAGCGATTTGCTACCGGACTGGGCCAGGCCGGGCGGCTGACGCTCGAGCGGCAAATCCAAGGGAGAGGCGACGGCGGTCCAGGGCGGGCCGGGTTAAAAAAAAAAAAAGTCGCGGCGGCGGCGGCTTGGGAAAGAAGGCCCGAGGGCCGCGTGCAGCGGGCGGGGGGCGACCGCGCTGCGTCCCGGAGCCTACAACCGCTGCGAGCCGGCAGGAGGGTGGGTGGAGGCGGCAGCGGCTGCAGGAAAAGCAGCGGCGGCGGCGGCGGCATCTCCTTCTCACATGACCCCACTGTTTGTCCCCGTGATCAGCGCGAGCGGCTCCCGTGTCTCCTCCGTCCCCTCCTGCCGCGCGGCGTGAGCGCCGGGCTCGGGGGCCCCCCCGGCCGCCCGCCCGCCCCCTCCCCCTCCCCTCCCTTCCCTCCCCTCCTCCCTCCCCCCCTCCCCTCCCCCCGGGCCCCGCGCCCCCCCCCCGCCCCCACCCCCCCATGGACATGCTGGACCCGGGTCTGGATCCTGCTGCCTCGGCCACCGCCGCTGCCGCCACCAGGTAAGGGCACCTGGCTGGTCCGTGCCCCCGCGCGCCCTGACTCCGGCCCTGCGGCCGGGCCGCCATGATCCGGAGCGACCGCCAGGCTCAGCTCAAAATGGAGGCCGCGTGGGAGGGGGGAACGTGCTAATGCCCCCGGTCCCAGGTCCTAGCGGTGCCTCAGCCCTAGAAAGGGCTGGGCTGGGTCGGGGACCTGCACCTGAGCAAAGGGGCGGGGGTGCAGGCGTCCTTGACCTCTTCCCGCCTTCTCCGCAGTCACGACAAGGGACCCGAGGCCGAAGAGGGCGTCGAGCTGCAGGAGGGTGAGTGCTCGCGGGGCCACCGGGCTGAGGCCTGGGCCCGGGAAGGGCCCTGGGGGAGCCCGGGCCCACTCGACCGCTGACCAACCCCCTACCCTCCTTCGACCGTAGGCGGGGACGGCCCTGGAGCGGAGGAGCAGACGGCGGTGGCCATCGCCAGCGTCCAGCAGGCGGCGTTTGGCGACCACAACATTCAGTACCAATTCCGCACAGAGAATAATGGAGGACAGGTGAGACAGGGCCGTGAGCCCCTGTGCGGGGATGGGGTGGCAAGTGGTGGGGAGAGTGGAGGGTCGAACTGGAGAATCGAGAGGGACTCGGACCTGGGCCCTGCCTGGGTTCTAGCGCTGGTCTCGCTGCTCTGCCGCCCCCTGCAGGTGACATACCGCGTAGTCCAGGTGACTGATGGTCAGCTGGATGGCCAGGGCGACACAACAGGTGCCGTCAGCGTCGTGTCTACGGCTGCCTTTGCGGGGGGGCAGCAGGCTGTGACCCAGGTGGGTGTGGATGGGGCAGCCCAACGCCCCGGTCCCGCTGCTGCCTCTGTGCCCCCAGGCCCCGCAGCACCCTTCCCACTGGTAGGTGGTCAGCAACACTGACTATGATCTTGGGAAGTCCCAGTGGGTGGGGCGTGTACGACATAGATACTGTCTTCAGGCTCTCTGGCTATGTGGGCTAAATTCTTGTTCTGTGTAGTGAAACTTTGGGACATTTTGTTTGTTTGTTTTTTGTCTTCTCATTTCTAAATTAGAGATGATGGTAGTAGAAAAGTCTCTTAAAAGTAAAAATTAATTGTTTACTAAATGATTGCTGAGTGTCTGAGACACAGTGTTATCTGAGGCGTAGGCAGAGTGGCATATATAGAGGGGCTGCTCATCCTCCACAGTGAATGCAGTATCTATCAAACAGGATGAGGGGATGGGTTGGGGAACAAGATGGCTAAGGGTGGCCTCTGTGTCCTCCTACTCCCCAGGCTGTAATCCAAAATCCCTTCAGCAATGGCGGCAGCCCAGCAGCTGAGGCTGTTAGTGGGGAGGCACGATTTGCCTATTTCCCAGCGTCCAGTGTGGGAGATACCACGGCTGTGTCAGTACAGACCACAGACCAGAGCTTGCAGGCTGGAGGTAAAAGGAGGAAGGGGGCCGAGGTGGAAGGCAGGGGAGGCAACAGGCTTAGCAGGGAGGGAGCCCCTGGCTATTTCTGACTCTGCCCTTGACTCTAGCACTAACTCCTGATTTCCCTGCAGGCCAGTTCTATGTCATGATGACACCCCAGGACGTGCTTCAGACAGGAACACAAAGGACAATTGCACCCCGGACACACCCTTACTCCCCGTATGTGCAGGAGACCTTAGCCCAGGAGCAGGGGACACTGGGAGGGCCTGGTGTGGGGCTGAAGAAAGGGAAGGTTTTGTGGAATACAAGCCAGTCAGTTGAGCACACACAGCAGGCACTTAGTTTATTTTTCGGCCTGTTTCTGTTTCTTTAGTACAAAGTATCATTTCCTCTTTCTACATGGGGACGTGTCTTATAAGAGTCATTTTCAGGCTTAACTCCTTAATAAATCCTTAGACAAATGCAGCCTAAGATGACATGTGCCCATTTCTTCTTGTAGAAAAATTGATGGAACTAGAACACCACGGGATGAGAGAAGGCGAGCTCAGCACAATGAAGGTAAGGTCAAGGTGGAGCCCTGGGGCCAGCCCAGGCCTCGGCTCCACAGGCACAGCCAAGCCTGGTATGTGGAGTCAGAGGTCACCGGCCACACTACGAGTGCAAGAGAGGCGTTTGTCGAATGCCAGAAAAGTAGAAACAAGTGAGGGAAGTTCATTGTCTGGAATGTACAGGCAGGAGTCATGGACTGGAATGTGTTTTATCATCCTGGCTACTGATTTTGAATTAATGGCCCACATCTAAAATGGCAGATGTCTCATTCACATAAGGATTTCCTGCTGCCTTTGAAAAATTGGATTGATCTGGCTTTCCTGGACCTACCTTTCAAACATTGTTGGCTGTTGTGTGCCATTTCCCTGCCCGCCTGGCTTCCGGAATAACTCTGGTCTGATAGGGAGCACATCTGAAGCTGAAATGCAGGAAGCTATATCTCTGGCTAGCCAACATTGGAGCCTCCTGCCCTTCCTATAAGTACCAGATCTACTCTGAGGTTATTTTAGCCCTCTTTGCTCTTCCCTAGTTTCCCACCCCAACTCCTACCCCCCAGTCAGTAGCCATTGTGGTGGACATGGCAGCATTCAGGTCAAGGGGAATACTTATACCAAACAACCATCCTTCAGAAAATATGTCCTGAAGGTGGATTCCAAGCTGAGCAACATGTGCTCTGGGGTAAGTATGGGGCTTGGTGTGGAGTGTCAGGGAGGCTTAGGAGTTCAGGCTATTGTCTAACTGAACACTGGGGGATCAGGCTATATTTCCCCAGGGAGGTGGTTTTTGGGAGGGCCTGTCAGTCGGAGGGAAGTACAGGCTGGAAGAGGGAAGGCAGAAAGTAGTCAAGTTTCTTTGGAGGGTGCTGGTTTGGTTGTTGCAGAGGTTCCCTGTGGAGTCCTTGGGAAGGAAGCCAGGAGAGTCAAGGAAGGCCCCCACCATTGCCAGGGTGAGGCCCCAGAATCCTACAGGTACTTGATTGGGGATGGGTTTATGCAGCTGTGAGCTAAGCAGCTCACTAAATTGAAGCATTCATTCAGCACTTATGTACTGTGTGCCAGCCCTTGTTTCAAGTTCTTAGATACAGTGGATAATGAGACAGATGAGGTCTTGGCTCTTGTAGTGTTTATTGGGGTGGGAAAAACAGAAATTACACAAAGCTACAATAACATATCAGCTAGCACGAAGGAAGATAAAGCTGGGCAAGGAGATGGAGGGTAATGGTGGCAGTGTAGGCCTCTGAGAGGTGACATTTGAGCAAAGGCCTGAATAGATCTTAAGGAATGGGCCAGCCAAGTACTCGGGGAGAGTCCCAGGTAGAGGAATGAGCAAATGCAAACACCCAGGCCTGAGCCAGAATAGACTCGGCATGTTTAAAGAACAGCAGAATTCGGGAAAGGAAAGAGGAAGTTGGCAGGGTTGCCGGAGGATTGGTCAAGGCCAGGTCATGTGGGGCCTTGTATGAGGTCTTCCAGTGTTCCTGCTCTTGGATTTTTATTGTAGTTTAAGGGGAAACCAGCAGAGAGGTTTGTGTATGGCACTAGATAGTAAGGGTTACCAGAGGCTAGAAAAATAGGAGGTGACTGCAGACATCTTGTCAGAGACAGGACAGGGCATGAGGGAGGGGACCATGGGGAGAAGATTCCAAGGTTGAAGAATCAGGTTTTCATGATGGTGTCAGGTTGGTTTGAAAAGGGAAGGGATGAGTCTGAGCTTGGCTTTTGTATGTGGCATGTTTGAGGGGCCTCCTGTGAGCTACCCAGTAGTTCTGTCTCTGCTTCTTATGTCATGTGGTGTCAGACTGATTCATTTTATATATGTTTATTTTTTTATTGTCCAAACTCAGTGGTCTCCATTTTCCTCCCACCCCAGCCATCCCCACCCTTGATCCTCCCATTTGGTTTTGTCCATGTGTGCTTTATAGTTGTTCCTGAAAACCCTTCCTCTTTTACCCCCAATATCCCCTCCCGCCTCTCTTCTGGTCATTGTCAGTTTGTTCTTAATTTCAATGTCTCCGGTTATATTTTACTTGCCTTTTTTGTTGGTTAGGTTCCACTTATAGATGAGATCATATGGTGTTTGTCATTCACCACATGCCTTCTTTCACTCAGCATAATGCTTTCCAGATACATCCAAGCTGTCGCAAAGGGTAGGAGTTCCTGCTTTCTTGTGCATAGTATTTCATCATGTAAATGTACCATAGTTTTTTTATCCCAGCTTTCAGTCTGGTTTATAATTTCTGTGCCTATTTGGTCATCTGGAAGGTGATGTTAACCCCACTCCTGCAGAGGCTCATAGTGAAGATACAGTGAGCTGAGACGTGTTGGTCTCCCTGGCAGTGTAGTGCACCTCACAGTGAGACTGCAGTGAACCACGTTTGGGATGCCATCCAGTCTCTACCTCACTTTCTCACTCTCTGCCTCTCATTGAATTAATCCAACTGAAAACAGTCTGGAATCTTTTTCCTATAAAAAGCAGTCTTTTTCATAATCTTGCCTCTCCTAACCTGCAGAGTATTTATGCCACCTTCTACCCATCCCGTACCCTTGGCAGGCTGGCTCTTTCCTTTACAGAAATGGGTCCATTTAAGGTCATTCATGATGACCTCGTTTCCAAATCCACTGGCTTCCTTTGCTATATTACCTCTGAGCATCTGATCCTGCCTGTTCCCCTCCTTTTGGTAATGATCTTTTTCCCCCACCTGCTCTGAATCTCCTACACTCTTTACCTTTCTTTCCCTCTCTCAGGGCTTCCAAAACACTCCAGGAAGCTCATTAATAATCAAGGTCTCCAGGGCTGTCCTCACAGGTTCTCAATGAGTAGATCAGAGGGAGGCCCTGGGGTCTGTATTTTGACAAGTTCCCCAAGTGATTTCTTCCATTAGCCAAGTCTGGGAAACTGCTTTGGCTCTTGGTGTTTTTTAAGGTCTGGTCCCCTCTCAGATCAGCCTCAGGAGAGTGAAATATTAGGCCCAGGGATTGTCATTATCCCCCAAGCCGCATCCTCAGTTGTTAGGAGTTCATTCTTTCTCTAGGAGGAGGTTCTGCTGGATTTCTCCTGTATGACTTCAGAAAGGTGATACCCACTCCTTGGTTTCCCTCTGGGGCTTTCTTGAACTCCAGACTCATTTTGAGCTACTCATTTAGAACTTCCGTTTCTGGATGTCCTTGAGACACCTTAAACTCAACATGACCAAAACAAAACTTGCTGTTTCCTCTCCCCAAAGGCTCGCATACAACGTTTCTTGTTTCAGTGGAGCAAAAGGCACCCCTAGCACAACTGTCTAAGCCATAACCTAAAGCCTGGCCACCTTCAGCTCTGCCCCCTTCTTCCCTCACATCTCCAAAACCTGAGGTTCTGTGCTGAAGTGGACTCTAAATCAACTTCTCTTTCTTCTTGCATCTTTCCCACCACCTCTTGGTGCTGTGGGAACCCATCTCCAGGCCCCTCAGTGAACTGGGGCATGCGTGCCCTTCCTGCCTGAAGGGTGACCTTTGCAGCCCCTTCCCATTGCCGTTACAGCATTTGGGCCCACTGTTGGGAAAACCTCTTGAGTAGCCAGAAATCCAGAGCTTTATGTGAAATCTGATTTTTAAATGCTGGATGGGATTGCTTTTTCTTTCTTTTTTTCTCTCTTAGTTTTCACTCTTAATGTTACTAATTCATTCCTTCTACTTACTTTGGGCTTAATTTGCTGGGGGGGTCCCCTACTTTTTAAAGATTAAACTTTTTTCCTAATACAAACCTTCCTAGTTGCAAATTTTACTCTAATACTCACTTTAGCTACACCCCATTTGGATATGTTGTGTTTTCATTATCATCCAATTCAAAATACTTTCCAGTTTTCTTTGTAATTTCTTCTTTGACTCCTTGGTTACTTAGAAGTGTGTTGCTTGATGTCTAGATACTTTGGGTTTTTAGATGTCTTTTTGTTACTGATTTTTTAAAAGACTTTCTTTATGGCCCTGGCTGGCGTAGCTCAGTGGATTGAGCGCGGGCCTGCGAACCAGAGTATCGCGGTTCGATTCCCAGTCAGGGCACATGCCTGGGTTGCAGGCCAGTTCCCAGCAGGGGACTCACGAGAGGCAACCACACATTGATGTTTCTCTCCCACTCTTTCTCCTTCCCTTCCCCTCTCTCTAAAAATAAATAAATAAAATATTTAAAAAAATAAAAATAAAAGACTTTCTTTATGTATTTTTAAAAGGGGGGAAGGGAAAGGAGAAAGGGAGAGAAACATCAACAACGTGTGGTTGCCTCTTGTGCACCCCCTACTGGGAACCTTGGCTTACAACCCAGGCATGTGCCCTGACTGGGAATCGAACTGGCGAGTCTTTGGTTCTCAGGCCAGCACCCAGACCACTGAGGCATGCCAACCATGGCTTGGTTTTTAATTTAATTTTATTGTACTCTATAATTTTAGTTCTCTAAAATTTATTATGGCTTCTTATATGGCCTCAGATATGGTTTATCTGATTGAAAATGTCCATGTGCACTTGAAAGAACAGGTATCCAGTGCTATTCCAATGTTCCCTCGGTGTCGCTAGATGAAGTTGGTTGACAGTGTTCAGGTTTCCTATCCTGGATTTTTTTGGTCTACTTGTTCTGTCAGTCTCTGAGAAGAGTGTTGACATCTCCAAGTATATATGTGAATTTGTTCATGTCTCCCTTCAGTCCTGGAAGATTTCACTTGCAAACTGAGTTTTAAATATTATATAGGTATAACTGAAGCACTTCTGTGGAATATATGTAGCGTTGGTCTTCTTAATGGTTTTCCTCCATTTCAGATGTGCCAAAATGGTCTTTCCAAGCTACGAACTGACCACCTTACCACCTCCTTAATGAAAGGTCCCAGACTCAAGAGCCTGGACCCCTAGAGTAAGAGATGAGGTCCAGACCAATTAGCAAGGTCCAGACCAATTAGCAAGGCATTCAAAGCCTTCACAACCTGGTTTTATGTTTTCCTACCATCCTGTTCCATGCCCCCCGTGTGCCCCTGCAATATTTCCACGTTATTGCTTCTGGTATCTTGACACCTGTCTGCCTGATACCGCTTCCTTCAGAAACTAGCCCAGATGTGTTCTCTCTAAGTCTTTGAAGCTGCACCCCACCCCATCCCATGTGGAAATCATTCCTCTACCCTGTAGTTCCCCAAGCACTTGGCACAGCCTTCAGTTACGACACATTTCCCTTAGTGTAGGTATCACTGTCACCGGTTCACCTGTACTTCACAGTGAGTGCCAGCAGGACAGAGATCGAGTTTACCCTGGACTCTAGCCTCTCAGTGCCGTTCCCACAATAGGGCAGGCAATACATTCTTAAGAAGTAAATGCAAACTGGAGATGTGCCACACCCCTGTGCCTGCCCCCTAGTGGCTTGAAATAAGGAGTACATGGGAGATCATAGCTGCAGCCTGGGTGCCCAGGCTCATGAATGCTGGACTGCATGAGGGTGGGGAAAGAAAGCAAGAAGCCATCTGCTAGAAGGCATTTGGCTGAGTTCCTCAGCCAAAACCTCCAGAGTGGAGCGTGCATGCTGCTGAGGGAAGTGCTGGGCTGTGCTACTGGGCCTGGCTGCACTGTTGGCTGTGCTGTAGCTTTTAGCCACAGAATTGCCAGAGACAGACAGACATGGCTGTCCTTGAAGGGAAAGTTATCACCCTGACAGCAATGGGGCCCTACGAAGGTCTCTACTGGGCACGGTTCTTGTCATGATATTGGGGAGGTTTCTGAGGAAAGAGGAGAGCAAGGGAGGAAGAAGAGCCATGAAGGGGGAGAGTCCACCATATAAAAGAGTATTGTCACCCAGGCAAGAGTGGGGCATCACTTGGAGGTGGGAAGGACTGGTCAGCAATGAGTGGACAAAACCAAGTGCCAAGAGAAGACAGTGGGATTTGTCTGTTAGTGGCAGATGTGTTCTTTGAGGGAACACAAGGGACAGGGGCGGCACTGGCCTTAAGACGTGAGGATTGAGGGGCATTCTCCTGGCCTGCCCCTCCTTTCTCACCCTTAGCCCCTCCTAATCTTTCATCAGCACTAACCAACCCTGAGAAAATACCTTCTTACCCTTCTTTCTAAATCCTACCTATAGGCCCAGTCTCCTCTTCACAGACATGCCTGCATTTATCCATAGGCCATCCTGGCAGGGGACTGAGAGTTGTGGGTGAGAATTGGGGGAATAACTAGGCTTTCTTTGGTGTCCCCACCAGTGCCTAGGGCTGGGGTTGGAAGGTAAGGAAGGGCTGGGATGGTTTGCTTCAGTAGGCCTCACACCGGGGATCTCAGGCTTCAGTGAAGGCAGACCCCAGACAGTTGTCATAAGCTCAGGATGTGTTGGCCAGGTGAGAAGCCAGAGGGAAGACATGCCCTATCTGAAGGGGGCGGCTTCTGCTGAACTCTCCTGGCAAAGAGAGGTTATGGCGTTTTATGGAAATCTCAAATCTGGATTTTTTTCAAGTGAAATCCTCTATTGGTTTGCCATCCCTGGCCTTCAAGATAGTGTTCATGTAGTTCCTCAGTGGCCCAGCATCCTGATGGGCCAGGCTCCTGTGAGCCGTAAGCGACATTCTGGGTGTCTGCGACTTGCCAGCTCTCTGGAGAAGGGTTTTAAACAAGGATGAGACATGGTGAGACTGATTTTAAAGATGAAGAGAAAGAATCATGGGGCCCAGAGCTTTGGAGAGACCTGGCAAATCAAACGCAGGGATTATGGGAATCAGAGAGAGCATTGGGTTCCGTGTGAATGGACTCTGCCTGTTGCCTCTCAAGAACACATGCCCACTCTAGCCACAACTCCTTTTCTCAAAAGATGTTAATAATTATGTGAAATTTTCTAATTTTTAAATGTTAGCTCAAATTTTTAACAATAAGCAAACAGAATGAACCCACAGTCTCCCATTGTTGATTCTCCTTTAAAAGCACAGTATTTGCTATGTATAATGTACATTTCTTTGCCCAAATTTTTTAGGGAAAAGTAAGGGTGTGCATTATACATGGGTAGTACTAACTACATATCTAATAAATGTCTTTAATTCTGTTATTTGTGCTTATGCATTTAAAGTGTAACTCTAAAAAAAAGTGTAACTCTGGAAAGCAAAACGATATCTGTATGCAAAATGATATCCTAGAATACAGCAATCAGTTTTGTTTCTAAATACAAATAAATAAATAATTTATTTAAAAAGGCTTTTTTTTCCCTGAGAGTTTGGCCCAAAAGCGTGGGTGCGCATTGTACACAGGAGCTCAGTGTATATGGCAAAATATGGTACTTAAGAGTGAGCCTTCCCTTGTTCCTCTCGAGAAGCAGTGCGACGCAGGCGTGCAGGCCTGCCACCCGTGTTCAGCTCTTGGCCCTGTATTCACTAGCAGTGTGACCTTGCCCAGGGCCCACCCTCCACCTCGGCAACCTGGGTTCTGCTGGCATCTGCCTCTGGAGGCAGATCACCTCGGCGTACCGGAAGCACTGTAACCTTAGCTGTCATTCCCGCTGTTACTCCTGCAGTGGAGCGGAGGCGGAGGGACAAGATCAACAACTGGATCGTCCAACTTTCAAAAATCATTCCAGATTGTAACGCAGACAATAGCAAGACGGGAGCGGTGAGTGCCCTCTGCGCCCCCCGAAAGTCTGAAGTTTGCTCAACCACTGGACACAGGAGTTGTCCACGGGTGAGCCAGTAGGCAGAGGCCGGCAGGCAGGCTTTACTCCAATGCTCTTGCCCACCTCACCCTACCCCCAGAGTAAAGGAGGGATCCTGTCAAAGGCCTGCGACTATATCCGGGAGCTACGCCAGACCAATCAGCGCATGCAAGAGACCTTCAAGGAGGCTGAGAGGCTGCAAATGGACAATGAGCTTTTGAGGCAACAGGTGAGTGCCAGGGCTGGGAGCTGGGTGGAGAACCCTGGATCCCAAGGTACAGGGAGCTATCACTGGCTCCTTGTCCCCTGTCGTATCTGCCAGATTGAGGAGCTGAAGAATGAGAATGCTGTGCTTCGCGCCCAGCTGCAGCAGCACAACTTGGAGATGGTGGGCGAGAGCAACCGGCAGTGACACCCACCCCATCATGTAGCAGGGCCACCTCTGGGTCTCTGCTGCCCCCTTCCCCAGCCCTTAGCACAGAGAGGGACAGATGCCCCTCCCCCAGCTGCGTTTTTTTATAGTAGATTTTTAACAAAAAAAAATGGGGAGAAGTGATGCATTTCTGTGGATAAGCACCCACCACTCTTCTCAATGTGGAAGTGATAGCCTCCCTCCCCCATCTGTGTCCCTTCTCCTGGGCCCCACTAAGCCCCAGCACTTCTAGTGGTCTCATCTGGAGGCAAAAGGGAAGAGGACAGAGGCTTTGGCCATACCCCACTGCCTCCTTAGTCTCTAGAGGTACTGATGCGGTGCTTATGGGAAGGAGGGGGAGCCCTTGAGGGGCCTTCCCTGGGACCTGGACCTAAGCAGGGAGGCCATGTCCCACCCCACCTCTTGTTTCTGGATTCCTGCTTCCCTTTGGGCGTGTGCGTGTGTGTGTGTGCGCGTGTGTGTGTGTTTTAATTTTCTTTATGGAGAAATGGACAAAAAAATAGAGAGGTATTTAACTGCAATAAACTGGCCCCATGTGGCCCCGCCTTGTCTGTTTGTGTATCTGTTCATCTCAGGTGTGGGGAGGGAGGGCAGGGCTTCCGCCGTTGTGTTGGTGGCTGTGTGTCAGTCCCTGCCACCCTGTACTGCATGGTCCCCAGTTTGTTGGATGGATGGACGGATGGATGGATGGAGGAATTGAGCAAAGAATATTCTGTTTGAGGCCCCAGGTGGTGTGGGGGTGGGGAGAGGTTGGGTCAAGTATCCATGTCTTTGGAGAGGCTGGGGTCTCCTGTGTCACCAGTCTAAAAACAGGATTGACTCCTGGCCCTGCCCTTCTGGGCTGAAGCCCTTCCCTCTGCACCAGCCAATGGTGGGGCCTGGCCTTGAGCCCCCCACCCCCAAGGAAGGCAGATGGCCAAGAAGCCAGGCTTGGCCCGTCAGCCTGTCGCCTTGCACTGTGGCTCTGGCGCCTGTGCTGTGACCCCTGCCCCTGGCTGATGATGAAACCTGGCCTGAGTGGAGATGCAGTGACACCAGGCAGAGAGCTTAACAGAGTGAATAAGGAGGCAGATGGCAGGAAGAAGCTTTCATTCCTTGGCAACAGCATCTTCAGGCTCTAACAATGGGGTCGACACTGGATGATCCTGGATTGAGTCCTGCAAAATGGCCAAAGTCCCATCTCTGGAATCAAGTTTGTGGGTCCGCTGGGCTATGTGTACCTACTACCCATGGTGCAGGGAATGGCTAGGACAGTCAGGCAGCCTTTTTCATCTCCCTACCCAGTGGTCTAGGGGACCAGCCCTCCCAAAAGCTCCCTGGTTTGTGGTGTGCATACCCCGCTGCTGGAGTCAGGGTACCAACACAATGTGGAGGTGGGATGAGATGTGCACAGTAGCTCCACTGAGCCAGCATGAGCCAGGTCCAGTACACCCCACTGTGCCCGCCTGTTTTGGGGAGGTGGGGAAGCCTGATCAGTCAGGCTGCCTAGTCCAGGGTGCCAGCTGTGCCTCTGGCTCAGGAAGTGCCCCAGTCTCGTCCTTCAGTTCCTCTCCTGTCGAGTAAGGAAACCAAGGGTGGGTATGGTGGACTCCTAAGAGGCAGCAGTGTCTGGGAAGCCAGGTCCTTGAGGATGGGCCAACGAGGCAGCTAGGGGCTCTGAATGCAGTGCAAAGTCTGGAATGGGATAGGCTGATGCTGCTTTGAGGGCAGGTAGTACTGGCTGAGTTGACACAAGAGTTTGAGTCAGTATGTCTGCTATGGCATATGAGGTGCAAACACTACTACTACTGGTATCTTTCATGGTCAAGTCCACAGGAACATTTTCCAAATACTAGGGCCACATCTTAAGGTTCTAACACAGAAGATCACACACATGCTGTGCAAACTCAAACTCCTGCCTCTGACGGTTGCAGTGTTCCCTACAGAACAGAACTGAACCTGTGGGGAGCAAGGATAATCTTGCTCCTGCTCATTGATCTGTTCAACCTCTGGGGCCAAAGGGGGAATTATTTCTGAGGTCAGCAAGGTGATGTCCTGTTAGAGAAAGTATTTCCCAGGGGGCTGGCTAGAGGTGTTGTCTGTGGCCCCATCTGCCCCACCCCCTGGACACACCTCTGCTGGCTGAGGGTGACACAACCCTGTGCCCTGTCACTCTGTTCCCGCTTATCTCCCGCCTTTTTGGCGCCACTACCTTCTGGGAAATGAGTTAGGACAAAGGGGAGGGGGCTTAGCACCCTCGCCTCCCCCAGCAGGCCCCATAAAAGCAACTGTAACAACCCAGACACCAGAGCGGTCCTAGACCTACAAGCAGGACAGCTAGACACAGCACAATGGCACTGAACATGCGGATCCAGGCTGCCTGCCTCCTGCTCCTCCTCCTGACCAGCCTTACCAGTGCCTCAGTTCTCCATCAGGTGAGGAGAGCCCACAGGGCTTAGGCCCAGCAGGCAGCTAGGACTGGAGAGTCAGGCCCTGGGAGGGGACTGCTGAGGGCAGCTAGAGACCCACAGGACTTGGCAGAGTGCAAGGCAGGCAAAGAGGGGGTGGTTAGCTGCTTAAAGAACAGAAATAGGGACTGGCAGTAGGGACTGGGGCCCTGAACTAATTCCACAGTTACCCATTGAGCACCTACTCTGTGTAAAGTTCTAAACTAGCCAGTGGGGGTCAAGCAGTGTAGCTGCTGCTTGACCCCCACTGGCTAGTGAGAACAAGGTAGGTAGGAGATTCTTCCTATCATGGTGCTTGCAGTCTGGTCAGGGAATCCATCAAAAAACAAAACATAAGGTCATGGTGTTTAGTAAATGCTATTCACAAATAACATAAGAGATTGTAACAGTGCCCATGGTGGGGCTACTTCAGGCGGAATCAAGAGCTGGCAGTCAAGCAGGAGTGTTCTGTGAGAAAATGTTACTTGACCTATGACTTGGATGTTAGAAGGGGAGAACAAGCAAAGACCGAAGTTGGGAGCAAGCATGGTGTACTTAATGATCAGAGGCTTTAGGAAGTGGAGGTGATGGTGCTTGGAGATGAGATTGAGGGAATAGATAGATACGCCAAGTCTTATGGGCAGTCAGGCAAACTGATTTCCCTCCAAGTGCAGGATCTTCAAGCCCTGCAGGCGTTTCTAATGGGTAAAGCCACAATCTGATACTGCAAGGGGCCCAGATTGGAGGTGCAAAATGCAGGGAGACTTGTTACAGATGAGGGCTCCCATCCAGGCCAGGGAGGGTGATGTCCTGAAGAAGAACAGTGGCTATGGAAAAAGCTGTTTGTAGGAAGGCGATTGTCTGTGGGAAGGTGAGAAAAGGCCAGAAAGCAAGGCTTCCATCTGAGCACCAGACGCAGCCCCTGGGTAAGGAATTGTTTGGTGGGGCCAAATCTGAGAGCTCTGCTGGGCTCCCTGCCATCTGCAATACCCCTTCTGCTTTCACAGACAAAACAGCTTGCAGATCTCCAGACTCAGGACACAGCTGGAGCCTCAGCTGGCTTGACGGTGAGAACACCTGGACCTCCCTTTGGAGCCTCCACAGCCTCCCCTGGGCCCACAACCACTCACTGTCCCTTTCTACCCACAGTCTGGGCTCCAGAGGCTGAGGAGACGAGACACCCACTTCCCCATCTGCATCTTCTGTTGTGGTTGCTGTCATAAATCAAAGTGTGGGATCTGCTGCAAGACGTAGAGCCTCTTGGCCCTCCTCTTCCTCCCTTATTTATTCCTGTCACCCTCCAACACTTGGTGAATGGTCTCAGAATAAAATAGCTGGTTCTAGCTTTTGTTTTCCAAACCAGAGTGTCTGTTGCCCTTTCTCCCTGCCAAAGGCCTGAGCCAGGGGCCTGTTCTGGCCACTGTCTGTCTGGTAAGGGCCAGTGCTCGGTGGGATGTATGGGGTTGCTGTGTCCTGGGGTTGCAAGGAAGCTTGGTGAAGGAAATTTGTTATCTGTTCTCCTTTAAGCCACACTTCATAAGGCCTGGAATTTTTGTTCCCATAGCAGGGAATGAAAACTAGACAAACTTTCTTTTTCTTAAAGTCTTAAAATGGGTGACAAACTCAAATGCCTAGCAGGGGTTCTCAAAGTCGGGTCTGGGGCTCCCACTAGGGCTCCACAGGTGAACATGACTAAGATGTTACTTGTCTCTTTAACTGTCGCTCTCACTCTCACTTGAGTGTACAATGGGGTTTTCCAGATCTGTGACATATGATGACATCATCACTCTGATGGCTAATGGACTGGCTTGTGGTTTAAAAATTTCCCAATTTAAATTTCTAATATGTTAAGCAACTATATGTATAACCTACTTAAATGAAAAAATTTTTGAGTCCTCAATAATTTTGCAGAAATGGTTCTTCAAACCAAAAAATTTGAGAACATTGGCCTTCCAGACAGATGCATAAGTGAGCGAGGTATGGATTTGATTTATAGGAGCATCTTAGGTTGTAATCTCCCAATAAGAACACACTCTGCAAGTGAGACACATAAGAGAATATTGTTCACCTCCGTAAGGAATTAAGGTCCCTCCCATTCTTAAAAACTGCATTCCTCTCAACTTATCTGATTTCCCCACTTTTGATAGAAACAAAGATGCAATTCAGTATTTTCTTAGCTCATGAGAAAACAGCAGTAGTGTGATGAGAAAGGGCCTTGGCCATCTGGCCTCACTGTTGTCTGTGGAAGGGCAGTGGGAGGCCTGGATCCCATCTACAGAGGGCTCCTGGTGATGGTTGCCATGCTCAAAGGCAGGCGGGACACAGCTACAGCTTCTTTTCAAGAGAAGGTGGCAATCTTTTATGCGAAATTTCCTGATTTTTTAAAATTTTGGCAACTGATAAAAGGAATTTGATTTTTTTAAATCAACACTCTGTGAGCCAAACTTAACCTAGCTGGGAGCTGGTTAAGTCTGGTAACCCACAAACTTCTGCCTTCTGCCTTTAAAGCCATGAGAGGCTCATCCTCTGAGAGAGGGTTTCCTGAACTGAGACTGAGGGGCAGGGAGGGGAAGGCAAGCTGGAGATCCTGGCCTAGAGATGAGAGGCAGCGGCACTCAAACTTCAGTGTGCACCCAAGCCTCCTGGAGGGCCTGGTGAAGTGCAGATTGCCGGAGTTCCAGACTCAGCAGGTAGAGGTGGGGGCCTAGAACTTGCATTTCTAACCAGCTTCCAAGCTGGCTCAGGGGCTGCACTTCGAGGACTCCTGGTACAAAACTGCCAAGTCTGGCTGAGGGCAGCAAGTGCCCCTGAGTTGGACCAAGCACCAACTCCCACTTGAGAGGATTAAAGAAGTGGGCCTGAGGGCTTGATTCTGCCCTGAAATGAGTTTTGCTTGGTCTGCACAGTATTTTAGATAAAATTGGGCTAATACCTAAAAAGCAAGATATCACACATAAAAATCTGAACTTCTGATGTTATGGGTTGAACTGTGTCCCCCTCCTCCAAATTTATAACTTGAAGTTTTAAATCCCAATACTTCAGATTGTGACCTTATTTGGAGAAAGGATCTTTAGAGAGACAATCGATTTAAAATGAGGTTGTTAGGGTGTCCTTTTAAAAAGGGGAAATTTGGACACAGAGACCCTCACACAGGGAGAATGCCATGCCAACGTGGAGATAGCCACTTACAAACCAAGGGGAGAAGCCCCCAGGAAAGGAATAGGCCTATTCCTCACAGCCCTCAGAGGAACCAAATGCCAACATGTTGACCTTGACTTCTATTCTCCAGCACTGTGAGATAATAAACTGTTTTTTGAGCCAGTTTGTAGTACCTTGTCATAGTAGCCCTAGAAAACAAACAGCCCTGCCCTGCCTGGAAGGACCAGCTGAGCTGGCAGTGCCAGAAGTTGGACAAGTGCAGCCCCTCTCGAGGTAAGCAGGCATGTGCTCTCCAGCCCCCCGAGGCCGCCTGTGCTCTGGATTGGAGCTTTCAGATTTCGGAGATAGTAGCTAGTGCTCTCTGTGGGACTCACTCTCCTGTGCATGCTTCTCCCATGGACAGCCTTCGGTTCACAGCCAGAAAGGAGCTGTACCCCCAAAGCTGCACAGGCACATGAACCCGAGTGAGTTGGTACTGACACGGAAGGCTATAACATGTGAGTACCCCAGGGTTATGGTGTCCCCCCCTATACTCCAGGCACCAGGCCCCTCTCTTCTCCTGGACCCAGGCGTTCAAGCCCCACCCCACTCTCAATGGGCCTTTGTTCCTGACTGGGAAAGGCACGGGCAGAGTCTGACATCATGAAGCCTGAAATGGGGATGGGACTCTCTCTCCCCCCTCCACCCAGCCTTCTCTGACTCCTCAATTCCCTGTCTGAGGGATTTCCCACCCCTCACCACCACCCGACCCACCCAGGTTTTTTCTTGAGAGAAAGAATACTCCCTCCCTCCCTCCCTCCCTCCCTCCCTCCCTCCCTCCCTCCCTCCCTCCCTCCCTCCCTCCCCACTGCTCTGGCCTAAAGGGAGACATAAAATGCCCCAGTATGGCTGAACAGCTCATGGTCAAGCCACTACTACACTTGTCAAACCACTGCCAGCTCCTGGCCGCCAGTTTGCAAAAATCATGACCAATAGGAGGGGCTGCAGTGGCAGAAGGATCACTGTGGAATCTGCCCACAGAGGGTCCCCACCCACCTCAGAGTCAATACAGCCCTCACTGAGCACTGGGCACAGCCTCTGATCTAGGGGACACAGAATGAGTAAGACAGACAGACAGAAATGCCTTTGGGTGCTCTTGGCTAGTAGAGAAGGAGCTCGCTGACAATGCAGGTGAGCAGACATGTTGAGGGCTGTGGATGGACAGGGTCACATTTAAACAGGAGGGCTTTGCCCTGGCCAAGTGGTTGAGCATCATCCTATGCACCAGAAGTTTGAGAGTTTGATCCCTGGACAGAGCACATACCTAGAGGAAGTATACAAGGGGCAACCATTTGATGTTTCTCTCTCATATCAATGTTTCTCTCTCTCCTTTCCTTCTTTCCTCTCTACATATCCTCAGGTGAGGATTACAAATAAAAAATTAAAAAATAAATAATAATAAATAAATGGAACGGCTTTGGCTTGGTGAGAAGGCAGGTAGGCTTCAGGAGGAAATGGCTTCCACTTAAGGGAGTTTTGGCTCGGGCAGAGCGCAGGTGGGATGAAGTAGGGGAGCTTCTCAAGAGGAAGGAACAAGTGCAAAGGCCTCGAGCCAGAGGGTGCCACACAGTATTAGATGGGCACTTTCATGCATCCACTCTGCATTTATGAAGCTTAACTGTGCCAGGAGCTGTTGTACAACAGGATAGATTGGCAATAAGCAGTCAAAGCCCTTACCCTTCTGAAGGTCATGCTGTCATGAAAATGGATAGTCAATACCTAAGGTCATTTCTGATGACAAGAAGAGCCTAGAAGAAAATAGACCAGATGCAGGGCCAAATGTGACCTAGGGAAAGTGACTGTAAGTGAGGGTGGAGGTGACACTGAAGCCTCCTCCTCCCACCCACACCAGCCTCTGTTGCCTCTCGTGACCAGGGTTATATCTATTGTTATCACTGAGATTCCCTGGATGCTGGGGACAATGCCTTCTGTCTCTCAGTCTAAGATGTTCAGAGATATTAGAATGCCCTCCCAGGGACTCAGAACCAGGGTGCACAGTGATGGAGGATGGAGGGGAACAAGTGAGGCGGTGCCCCCCCCCATCCCCTCCAGGAAGAAGCTAGTAGAACCCAGGCATCAGGCTGCCTAGTTGAGCAGTGATGACAAGGGCCCCTTTGTGTCCCCCTCCCCCTGGAGGACAGGGAGGAGCTGGGCCCTGGAGGCAGGCGGCCCCTGGCACCCTGGAGGAGGGGAGGGGCAAGCAACTGGGGGCCTAGACCCTGGGAGGCCAGGGGACTCTGAGCTGGGCTGAGGAGCAAAGGGTGCAGACACAGGAGCATCCTGGTGAGTACACAGCAGCCAAGAGGGGCCAGCGACAGGGTGGGAGCCGAGGGCCGGGACTGAGAGGGTGGAGCAGGGGCACTTGAAGCATGTGCAAAGTGAGGATGGTTGCTGTGAACTGGTGCTAATTTAGGATGTTGAGGCGGGGGGTGTTCTTTAGGACTTTGGAATGAGCTGAGACCATGGCAGGACAGTGACAGTACTTTGAGAAGAAACTGCAGAAAGAGAACCAAGGGCCCTTCTCAGCACCCCTTGTGGTGGAGGTTATGCAGAAACAGCTGCCCTGGGGCTTCCAAGTTTGGGGCAGATGTGGTGGAAGCAGCCTGGGGTGGGGTGAAGATGGACTGATGCCCAGGTGATTAGACACCTGCATTCTGCTCTCTGAGAGGGTGAGGGGCAGTGGGCTGTGAGTGAGCAAGTTGCAGTAACTGGGAGCACAACAAGGTGTGTGTGTGTGTGTGTGTGTGTGTGTGTGTGTGTGTGTGTGCACCTCTCCTGGGTGGGTCTTAATTTATATCAGTGTTTGTCAACCTTTGTTTCATTACACCCCACTAAGGAACATTTTTAGACCTGTTTTTCCTAAGCCCCACTCCCTCTATGAACCTCACTACTACAGATAGGCTGTATGTATGTTGTGTACTGAGGCCCTGGAGAGAGTCACAAATCAGTGGTGAAACTGACCTTTCTTGCCCCCACCCCAAGAACCAGTGTTCATCCCCATTAAGAATGCTTGGTCTACATGATCGTTTCATGTGTCTGCTTAGGCCCTGCATCTGTCTCCTGCACCTTCCCATCACAGGTGCAAGGATGGTGTCAGCTGTGTCCATCAGCATGTATCTGGGCGGGTCTGTCCTTAGCTACTCCCTGGTGTGGGTACACAAGTCGGAGTGTCTTTGTGAGCATGGCGTGGAGGCAGGGCCATGTGCTTGCCTGAATGCTGTACCCATGTCAGTGCAGGTGTGAGGTGGGCAGGAGGAAGGCAATGTGGGTCTGCTTCCACTACTGTGGGCACCGGGATTACAGCGCCTGTGTGTGTGTGCAGGGTCCTGATCAGGTATCTGCATGAGCTTCTATCGCACAAGTCTGCTCCTCCCACTGGGTCTAGATCTGTCATATTTCATAGCAGCATTTGCATGTGACTGGCTGTGTACGCATCTGTGTCTGTGGGAAGAGGGTGGTAAAGGCTACTTGGAAACCCTGGCTCCCACTCTGAGGGGACCCACAGAGCAGCCAGATGCCAGGGTCTCCCTACCTCCCAACTGCTGGTCCTTCCTGGCCCCATGTAGAGCCCAGTTAGAAATGACAACTTTTCCTTCACCCCACCTACTACCCCAGGAGTCCTCCAAGAGGCAGCACCCTCCCCCTGAGGGAACAGGGCTCTTTTGTGCCAGGCACTGGCCTCTGCTGAGGGTGGAGACAGCAGGGGCTGTCTGTGGGGTGGGAGCGGGCGGCAGGAATTCACACGGCATGTTGGGAATGTTGATGCTGTGAAACCCAGTCATTGATGGCACTGGGTCCCTGCCTGCCACCCCCAGGCCTCACCCCACTCACCACATCCTTCTCCCCACCTCAATGCTCTGTCACTCTCCTTTCCTTTCCCACAGTTGTCCATGGCAGTTTTAGGGGGAGGTATGGGTGGCGTTGATCCCATGTAGAGTAGCGCCCAGGCTGTGGGAGGGTCCCAAGCATCCACGTGGCCTTAGAAAAGGCCACAACTCATAGCAGATGCTGAAAGAGAGGGACAGGGGGTGCTCAGGCCTCCAACCTCTTGCACTTGCCTGACTTTTGTTCCAGGGTCGCTGGCTGACATCTTCAAGGGGGACCAGAAGACGTTACCAACTCAGGAAGTCTGAGGTGAGGGGCAGTGTTCCTTCCTCCTGGCTTCCCCTTCTTCCTGCTGCTGGTTCAGCCTTGGCTCTGTCCTTACTTCTGGGGACCTGCAGGGGCACAATGGTGATGAAGATCATTGTCAGCATATTACTACCACACAGAGACAGGACAGTTGGGTGGTTAAGTCTGCAAACCTGGAGCCAGGTAGATAGAGCCTGAATCCTAGTTGTTGTTTACCAGCTGCGTGGCCATGGACAAGTTACTTAACCTCTCTGGGCTTCAGCTATAAAATGAGGATAATAATTGTACCTACCTCAAAGAGATCAAATGAAATAACACAGCAGAGCAAAGCACTGAGGAATAGTGCATGGTGAATCCCACATAAATGTTTGTAATTATAAATATTAATAGCAGCAACACCTACCATCTGAACAAGCCCCCTCCTGAAGCCTTAACTGGAAGCACCTCTTTTCACTTCTCCTGGCCCTTAATGCCCTCCTCTTCCTTCTCTAGCTGTCGCTCACCTGCTATACAAAATGATATTCCTCACAACACTGCCCCTGTTTTGGATTATGATTGCAGGTAATGACTGGGGAATGGGGGTGGCTGGGGATCTGGAGTCTTGGCCCCAAGCAGGCTAGGGTTGTTTCTGTAGGTTCCCAGATGCCTCAGACTGTGAGAAGGTGATGGGAGCAGGGAAGGGGTGATTCAGTCAGGACGTGGCCCTCGGCCTCAGCAGTCCTGCTCATCTGCAGCCTCTCGAGGTGGTCACTGGGGTGCCTGGATGCCATCGTCCATCTCAGCCTTCGAGGGCACGTGCGTCTCCATCCCCTGCCGCTTCGACTTCCCTGACGAACTTCGGCCTGCTATTGTGCATGGTGTCTGGTATTTCAATAGCCCCTACCCAAAAAACTACCCCCCAGTGGTCTTCAAGTCACGCACCCAAGTTGTCCATGAAAGCTTCCAGGGCCGCAGCCGCCTCCTTGGGGACCTGGGCCTGCGCAACTGCACCCTCCTGCTCAGCAACCTCAGCCCTGAGCTCGGCGGCAAGTACTACTTCCGCGGGGACTTAGGGGGCTACAACCAGTACACCTTCTCTGAGCACAGCATCCTGGACATCATCAGTGAGTCCCCCGGAGGCTGCACAAGCAGTGGGGCAGGGGTGTCCCTGGGGCAGGCAGGAGAGCAGCAGGAAGTCCTCCCAAGCACCTCTCCAGGGAGGTCTCTCCAGCAAAGATCCAGGGACTTGTTTCTTAGACTGAGGGGTGCAAAGCCCAGTGTCCACAGACACCAGGCAGATGGCAAAAACTAGCAAAGTGGGCCCCCAAACAGTCTTGCTGCCCTCAGAGGAAAAGGAATGCTCTTACTCTTCTAGAAACACCTGGGGAAAAGGCGGTGGGGCCAGGGGGTGAGGGGTAAGACCTCCTGACTCCTGTGTTTGCTGGGCAGAGAATGAAATTTTCTGAGCCTTGGTTCCCTCTTCTGTAAAATGGGGATAAAAGCAGCATTTAAAGCTCAGTGAATGAATGGTTGTCAAGGGCTCCAAGCAGAGCTGGGTGCCATGTGCCAGGTGTGGGGGTAGAATTCGGAGCCATTGCTACTAGGCAGAACAAATTTTCAAAAGAAACCAGAATTTCCCTGTGATCTCCTAATTCCTAAACATTAACCGCTGATTCAGATATATATAATTCCTAAATTTAGGCCAAATAAAATGCAGCTCTGGGCCAAATTTGACAGCCAGAGTATGGCCAACTGCTAGATTTCAGGCATTTCTACTGCCTAGTTTCTGAGAAGCTTACTACCTGGAGGTCTTTGATTTAGGCTGCCCATCAGCATCTAGTCTACAAGGCCAGACTGTGACCCTGATCCTGATGCAGAAAGAGGCTCCTCCCCACATGCAGGTGCACATACATGTGCATGCCCCCCAACACTATTGGAAGTAAACCAAAACAAACATGGGGAGGAGACAGGGTTCGTAAGGACTATGCTGCAGTGTTAGATGCACAGATGACGAAGCCACAGTGACAGGGTCTGAAGCTCAGTTTCACCAGCTGTGGCCTCGGTGTCCTGCCAGCACGTCTGGAAGGACTGGCAAGCTCAGCACTTGTAAAGTACTCAGACTAGTACATGTTCATTACTGTTACCTCTGTGGTTGGATCTGTGCAGGGCTTCTGGGTGAAGGTTTCAGGGAATTCTGTTTCCAAGGGGAGGGGACCAGGTACCAGGATTGGACTTGGGCAAGGTGGGGGTGTCTGCTTCCTCAGTCCTCCTTCTCCCCACCTCACATAGGCACCCCCAACATCGTGGTTCCCCCAGAGGTGGTGGCAGGCACGGAAGTGGAAGTCAGCTGCATGGTGCCTGACAATTGCCCGGAGCTGCGCCCAGAGCTGAGCTGGCTGGGCCATGATGGGCTCGGGGAGCCCACCATTCTGGGTCGGCTGCGCGAGGATGAGGGCACCTGGGTGCAGGTGTCACTGCTACACTTTGTGCCCACTAGAGAGGCCAATGGCCACCGGCTAGGCTGCCAGGCCTCCTTCCCCAACACCACCTTGCAGTTTGAGGGCTACGCCAGTCTGGACGTCAAGTGTGAGCTTGGGTGCGGGCCTGGCGGCGGGAGGGGGGCGGGGTGGGGGGAGATGCGGGTCCCCACAGGGCATGCAGCAAGTGCCAGCTGACCCCGCTGTGTCATGGGCCCCAGACCCGCCTGTGATTGTGGAGATGAACTCCTCGGTGGAGGCCATCGAGGGCTCCCATGTCAGCCTGCTCTGTGGGGCTGACAGCAACCCACCGCCGCTGCTGACCTGGATGCGGGATGGCACGGTGCTCCAGGAGGCAGTGGCCGAGAGCCTGTTCCTGGAGCTGCAAGAGGTGACCCCCGGGGAGGACGGCATCTATGCCTGCCTGGCAGAGAACGCCTACGGCCAGGACAACCGCACCGTGGGGCTCAGCGTCATGTGTGAGTGGCTTCCCTGTGCGCACACTTGCCTGGCACTGGTGCTGCTGAGCAGAGATTAAGGGGGAAAGGGGCCTCGCCCAGAGAGGGGTGGGGCAGGGCTGGTCCGGGGCTGGGCCGGCCCAGGGCATGTCAGGAACAGAATGGCGGTGGAGGTGAAGATGAAGAAGAGTGCTATGGGTCAAGGAATTTCTTCGTTCTTTGCACAAATATCTAGTGAACACCTACTCTGAACCACCTTTGTCCCTAGGACAGGAGTAAAAGACAGATTAAGTTTGTTACCTGAGAAAAATGGTTACATTCTGTTTCCTGGGGCAGCCCTGCCTGACCTAATAGTAGATCTGGGCCTGGCCTTGGAATCTGCATTTAAAAATGAGCCCCACTGTAGTTTTAATGGGAGGGCTGGGGGGACCCAGGCCTCACCCAGTCCCTTGTGCACACCAGTATGTTATGGGGCCCTGGAGGAGAAGGCTAGTCAGACAGGATTCTTCACTAGGAACCCAGAAGAAGTCATTCATTCATTTATTCATTCACAAATGCTTATTGAGGCAAAATGCCAGGGCTGGGAATAATAATAATGACAGCTACAGCCAACATTTGCTCAGCACTTTCTAACTGCTTTACACAAATGTTCATCCCCCAGGCATCCCGGAAGCTGGCTCCTCCCACCTCATGCTACGCTCACTGAAACCTTTCCTTACTATCCTAGCTAAAACTGGAACTACCCTGATTTTCCATCCCTCCTGTCATTTTTCTCCAAAGCACTTATGCCCAATTTGCCAATGATATATTTTATTTGCCTACACAACATCCACCCACATTGGCAGTGATCTTCGTCTACTTTGTTCAGACTAGAAGAGTGCCTGTCACTTAGTGACAGTGACCCCTATGAAGTTGGGACGATTATTGTCATTTTTAAATCCCCACTCAAGGAAATGTTTATTGATTCTAGAGAGAGAGGAAGGAGAGGAGAGAAAAAGAGAAACTTCAATGTGAGAGAAACATCGATTGGTTGCCTCCCATATGTGTCCCAACCAGGAATCAAACTCGCAGCCTTTTGGTATATGGGACAATGCTCCAACCAGCTGAGCCACCTGGCCAGGGCAAGTTGGAACTATTATTAAGCCCATTTCCTATATAAAAACATGAGTCCCGGAGAATTTAAGACCTGGGACCACACACAGCTGGAAAGGGCAGGGCCCAGATTCAAACACAAGCATTCTGGCTGCAGAGTCCCTGTTCTTGTAAACAGGACAGCCAGGACTGGGGTTACCTGAGCCATCCTGAGCTGGTGTGCTTGGGTTGGGGTGTCTGGGGCCACATTTAGGGGATGGGAGTTGGCTGGCAGAAGAGGTACTTGCTGGCTTCTGATCATCTGTCCCTTGTTCTGCCCCCAGATGCACCCCGGAAGCCAACAGTGAATGGGACAGTGGTGGCTGTGGAGGGGGAGACAGTCTCCATCTTGTGCTCCACACAGAGCAACCCAGATCCTATTCTCACCATCTTCAAAGAGAAGCAGATCCTGGCCACAGTCATCTATGAGAGTGAGCTGCAGCTGGAACTGCCTGCTGTCACACCTGAGGATGATGGAGAGTACTGGTGTGTGGCTGAGAACCAGTATGGCCAGAGAGCCACTGCCTTCAACCTATCTGTAGAGTGTAAGTACTCCCCTTTCTTTCCCCTTCTCCTGCTGAGAGCTGGCAGGATTTGTATCTCCCCTCCAGTCTGAGGTAAATATTTCAATGGGGTACATCTGGGTAACTGTAGGTACCTACATGTTCCAACCAAGGGTTAGCTTTGTACCAGCAGACAAGCATGGGGAAGGCAGGAAAGCAGAATCCACAGCAAGAAAATACAAGTTCCACCTGAGAACAGTGTCTCCACATTCCCAGAGTGTGCTTTTAACCAGGGAGATTCTGGATCCCTGTAAATAGGACAGCCAGGCCTGGGGTTACCTGAGTCATCCTGAGCTGGTGTGATGCGGCCACTCTTCCTTTACATTAACTCATATAATAACCATGACATCTAACCCCTGTGGAGCGTTGCTTGTACCAGACACTGTCGGAAGCTCTGTATCGGGATCCACTTATTTCATCCTCATGACCATCCATATGTGGGAGGTTCTATATTATCCTTAGTTTCCAAAGAAGGAAGTTGAGGCCCTGAGAGGTTATGCTACTTGACCAAGGTCACACAGCTAGAAAATGGCAGAAGTTAAGATTAAAATCCAGGAGGTCTGGTCCCACTCTTCTGTACTGCCCCAAATCGACTTTTTCCTGCATTATTACATCAAAATACAGTCAGAGGTCAAGCAGTTATATGCGCAAAGGGCTGTGTGCTCAGTGATAGGTGGAGGACAGGACCAAGAGGGCGCCAAGTTTATTAACAAACAGAGTATAGACAGCAAGATGGGATGATGCAACATGAAAAGCTAACTGCTATGGAAATAAAACTCATTATTTCACTGCCAGCTAGCGCCTCTCCTGATCTCCTCTCTATAGGCAACACCACCACAACCCCCACCCTGGCCACCATCCTGGGTTGTAGCTCCCAAGTCACAGTTTTGATTCCCCTCCTCCAGCAACTCCCTATGGAGTGTCACCTCCATGTTTCTGTTGCTCCTGCTTCCTCCTCAGCTCTGGCCCAACCTCTGGCACTGGCCTCCAAACTTCACTACTCCAAGTCTCAACTACTCTGCTTACAATGGTCCCCAGCACACAAGTTTGCCAGAAGATACTGAGCACAGTTCCTATTCAATATTCTGTATGTATGGCAATAATCCGTACATGGTAGCTATAGATTATTCCTGGAGTGCTATCTTCCAGGGCAATGCCATGGTTGTCCACTCCTTCACTAACCTTTCAGTCTTTGGCCACATTCCTTCTGGCCTCTGTTCACTCACAGCATCCAGTGTGATCACTGCATGTGGGTTGTGCCATACTCTGTCTTCTCCATATGCACCCTTCTGGGCCCTGCTTCCCTCTTCTGCTCTACCCTTTTCCCTGTCACACTTCAAGCTGGTGGTTCTTAAGTTTAAGACTCAGAACCCTCTGAGAACCTGATGGCAGCCACCGAACATCCACGTAACACCATCTCATGTGCATTATCAGTCACAGACTCGCCCCCCCTCCACCGCATAATAAAAGTCGTGGCAGCAAATGGGCATTAAGGACCTCCTCTGGGTCATGATTATGTCCTCTACAGATGTTATTTTGCTAAGCCCTTCTGATGTCCCTGAAGCAGGTGTGTACTATCATTAATCCTTAACTGAGGAGAAATGAAGGTCACTTTGGGTACGTTTAGTATCTATTGGGGCCTCATAGGTCATCCAGGTTGCCTGTGAAGCTTCAGAGTGGCTCAGCATGTGCAGGCAGAGTGCCAGGGTTCCAGCAGTATCTAGGGCAGACATTGTCACAGGAGCATAGTGGTGCAGTCTTGAATAAAAGGGTTTTTTTAATTTTAATTGCTGTGAGCTCAGGTTTGTTATTATTGATTTGCTCTGCATTGTGTTAATTTGGTAACACTACAGCAAGCGTGGTGCATGTGTGCCTAAACAGAATTGGGATATATACTTTGTTTATGTGGGGTATATACGTGTATGCACTGAGGTTCCAATTAGAATCATCTCTCTTGTGACTACATCTGGTCATGTGACTCTTGGCCCATCACTGTTACTTGCATATTCTTTTTTGTTTGAAATTGAAAATAAGTGGGGTTGGTGAGCCAAGGGTCTTTTGCCTGTGTGTGAGTTTTGGTTAGAACTGAGAATCAGAATTCAGGCTAGAATGAGCAGAGGGGAGTGCTGGCCTCTCCAGGAAAGAAATAGAATATAGTTAAAATATATATATATTTTATTTATTTATTCTTAGGGAGAGGGAAGAGAGAGAGAAAGAGGAGGAGAGAAACATCAACCAGTTGCCTCTTGCACACCCTCAACTGGGGACCTGGCCCACAACTCAGGCATGTGCCCTGACTGGGAATCAAACCAGTGACCTTTTGTTTCACAAGCTAGTACTCAATTCATTGAGTCACACTGGCCAGGGCAAGAATATAGTTTTGAAAACAACATTCAAAGTTCTATTGTAATTTCATATTTTGGAAAATTATCATACCTGTACCATTTTTGAAAAAATATAAATGGCAGCAAAGCAAAACCCAACTGAATGGTCTTGGGTAGAGGGTGGTGCTGAGTGCTAGTGGCACTGGAGAATACTGTGACGGAGTGAGGGTCAGAGTGCATGATGGGCTCTAGGGAGTCAGCAGGACCATCTGCAGGATGGCCTGAAGGGGTAGCCAGCAGAATTCAATAGCCCACTCCACAAGTCTTTCCAGAGCTCTGCTACTTGAAAGGCATATTGTAAGTGTGGGCAACAGAGTGGAGATAGAAAGAGAGCCTGACTTCATGGAAAAGAGAGACAAGCCATATCAATGTATAACGCGGGTAGAAATGAGTGCTGGAGAGAAAACCTAGTTGGGACAGGGAGTGAAGTAAGTGAAGCAAGAGAGTGTTGGAGTATCTGGGTAGAACCTTCATGGAGTGAGGGAATGAGAAGGGACAGTACCTTCAGGGAATCCTCCAGGCTGAGAGAGAAATACAAATAACTGGGTGGGAAAAGCTCTATAAACTTGAGAAATAGCAGGGAGGCCAGTGTGACTAGAAAGGAATAAGCCTTTCAGGGTAAGAAAAGATCAGAGAGTGCCTAGTTCCCACAAGGCCTTGTGGATAAAGGACAAAGAAGTTGGATTTTAGCCTTGGCTGGTGTGGCTCAGTGGATTGAATACCAGCCTACGAACCCAAAGGCTGCTTGTTTGATTCCCAGTCAGGGCACATGCCTAGGTTGAGGACCAGTTCCGCAGTTGGGGGTGTACAAGAGGCAACCAATTGATGTATCTCTTGTGCCTAGATGTTTCTCTCTCTTTCTCCCTCCCTTCTCTTCTCTCTAAAAATTAATAAATAAAATCTTTTAAAAAATGAAGTTGGATTTTATTCTGTGACACAAAGCAATTGGAAGACAGGTTTGAGCAGGAAATGTCATGATGTGATTTATGTTTTACAAGGTGAACAAAGATAGAAGGGGTGCACAGGAATAGTGCAAAAGAGAAAATGCAGATCATTTCTCTGAGAACTTACCACCCTGCTCTTCACCCTCAGCCAAAGAGTCCTGGCTTCTAGTTGTCTACAGCCCACTCAAGTCTTGATTTTGTCCCACAGTTGCTCCTGTGATCCTTCTGGAGTCTCACTGTGCAGCAGCCCGAGACACTGTGCAATGCCTGTGCGTGGTGAAATCCAACCCAGAACCTTCTGTGGCCTTTGAGCTGCCCTCACGCAACGTGACGGTGAACGAGACAGAGCGGGAGTTTGTGTACTCTGAGCGCAGTGGCCTCCTGCTCACCAGCATTCTTACACTGCGGGGACAGGCCCAGGCCCCGCCACGGGTCATCTGTACCTCCCGAAACCTCTATGGCACCAAGAGCCTGGAGCTGCCCTTCCAGGGAGCCCGTGAGTGGTGTGGCCTGGGGCTGGGAGCCACAGGAACAGAGGGACTCCTTTTGGATCCAAGCTCCTCTCCCCAAAGTTGACTGACCATCAGCCACTGAGCATGGGTCAGGTTATACAGGTTGATCCAGTGGTAAAGAGGCCCTTCTGGTCGGTAAGGAGAGGCTGCCGCAAGTTTGCCTATACTAGACCCTCCCCATACCCTTCAGACTAGTCAGTCAGTGTAAGAATGTGCCAGCTACTTTTCACTATCACTAATGTCCCCACCCATCTCCTAGGAACCCAGGTATCTTACTCCCACCAGCAGCCCTGAGGGCACCTGGGTTTTCTATATTCTCAGACCGCCTGATGTGGGCCAAGATTGGGCCTGTGGGAGCTGTTGTTGCCTTTGCCATCCTAATTGCCATCGTCTGCTACATTACCCAGACACGCAGAAAGTGAGTGCCCCATTAGGGCTGACCTGGGAGTGGCATGAGGGGCTGAGGGATGGGCAAGGGAGGGCAGCCCTGTGTTGGTGGGGGAGGGTGTATTCTGCTGAGAATGAATGTTCAGCTGGATGGAGGAGAAAGGGGCCCTATGCATGTGCCAGTGTCTGAGCCAAGCACTTTCCACCAACCATTTCCTGTTTCCCCACTTTCTCTGCTATGATCTCCTGCCCTCCAAGAGGTGTGATGGGGAAAGCTAGCTTCCTTTGGCTTGCAGCTACAGCAAGCACCAATGACTACACACGTGTGGCAACAAAAACCATCTCTAGTCCCAAACCACACCTACCTGCCACAACTGTGCTGTTATTTTTCTTCCTTATGTCTCTCCAAAAAAAAATGAATTAATCTCTCTGTTCCACATCTTGGCAGCAACACAGACCCAGGGCATATAAAGAGAACATGGAGAAGCTAGGCTAGGGTCCTGAAAAGTGTCAGAGACCAGGAGCTAGGTGGCTCATCCTCAGCCACAAAGCAGGGGAGAGATGGGCAGTGGTGGACAGGAGGAGGCTGTTCATTTGAAGAGCCATCTGCTTTGTCATGGGGAGATGGGTGGGAACAAATCCAGGATCCCTTGGGCCAAATTCCTAAGGTAGATGGGAATACAGAAATAGAGGGGGATTGGAGGCCTGGGAGTCCCACTTGGGCTGCCATGTCCTGCCCTGCAGAAAGAATGTGACAGAGAGCCCCAGCTTCTCAGCAGGAAACAACCCCCCAGTACTGTTCAGCAGTGACTTCCGCATCTCTGGGGCACCGGAGAAGTATGAGGTAAGGGCCAGAGCCCTGTGGCTCCAGGCTAGCTGGAGAACCTGGATGTCAAGAACATTGGGGGCCTGGGAGGCCAAGTGCCAGAGGGGAGGTCAGGCTCCTTAGGAAGAAAAAGGAGGAAGGATGGAGGGCTGGCTTGGACATGGGCTGGGAGGGATGCTTACTCTGAGACTATGAAGGGGGCTATGGGGCTCAGGCCCAAGGGAAGCCCTCACCTGGGTCTATGACCACATTTCCTTCTCCAATAGTCCAGAGAGGTCTCTACCCTGGAATGAACAGCCCAGGAGGTAGGTTTGGGGGGAACCTCAGTGTGCCCAGCTCTGGGCCTTGGGGCTGTCATCCATGTGTGTGTCACTGCCAGGAGTCCAGGATGGTCCCCTGTTAAGGCTGCCCTGCCTGGTACTCATGTCCCATTGCTACTCCCTTCTGTCTGTGGCCACTGTTCTATGTGTCTGTCCAAAGGCTCTCATGTGTTTGTGAATGGGGGGTGGAAAGCATGAAAGGGAAACCAAAGGCACACCTCCAGGACTGTCAAGATTAAGGGGGACCACACCAGACCCAAACATAGGGTAAGGACTCATGGAGCCATGCATGTACAAATATTTGGAAAGGTGGGATCCAACCAGGTGGTTTTACTCTGGGAAGGTGTTAATGGGTTGAATTGTGTGCCCCCAGATTCCCATGTTGAAGAAGTCTTCCCAAACTTATTGAATTTGTAGGCTATTTCAGGATCAACAATGAGGAGGGTGTTGCAAAGGGGGATCAGTGTGGGCAAAGTCCCCAGAGTGGGACCTGGGTGGGGACTGTGGGGCTGGCTGGGCTGGCGGTCCTTGAGAAAAAAGGTTCACACAGGGCTTTGAGACTCAACTCTGGGGTTGTGAGGGTGAAAGCAACTCCAGCCTTATATCTGGAAAAGGCAGAACAGGACTCTTCTAATGGATTGTTTCCCTTCATAGAGTGAGAGGCGCCTGGGATCAGAGAGGAGGCTTCTGGGCCTTCGTGGAGAGCGCCCAGAGCTGGACCTGAGCTTTTCTCACTCAGACCTGGGAAAACGACCCACCAAGGACAGCTATACCCTGACAGAGGAGCTGGCTGAGTATGCTGAAATACGTGTCAAGTGAGGGAGCTGGGGGCAGCCTGTTGGCAACCACCCCCTCAGGACCCTCACTGGCCCCCACTGGCTGTGGACTCCCTTCCTCCCAAAAGTAGCGAGCACTGGGGCAGGAAAGGGATGGGGCAGGTGACAGTGAGGTCTTGGGAGCTTGGCCTCCCCCTCCTTCCCAGCTACCCCCACCCTGCCAGCACCTCACCCTCACAGTGTGGCTCCCCTCTAACCTCCTTTAACCTCGTCTGTCTGGAGGGGAGTTTCGTCTCTTTGTGTTATTTATTACTATCCCCCACCTGGTCTTCTCCCCCATACCTGGCCCCAGGGTCTGTACTGAAGGGACATGAAATAAATGCCCCAAAGCCAAATACTTGTCTAGATCCTCATGATTTCTGGCTTGTTCTTGGGGGAGCCTTTCATGTCTCTCCTAACCTTCTGCTGGGTCCTGTTCAGAGGCAAGGCCCAGGGATTCCAGCCCTAAGCCCTGGCCAGCTGCCAATGAATTGTTCCCACTTTGAGCTGTGGGAAGGATCTGGCCCACAGAATGTCTTATTTGACTTGTGGTTGATTTCACATAACAACAGTCATTCCTGCCATTGTTACAGAGTGACTGACAGTATTGGGCTCACACTTGGCCACAGCTGTGACTCACTGAAAGAGAAGGTAGCTGCTCCTTCTGAAGTGGCACGGGTTTCTTATTTGTCCCTCAGTGCCACAGCCCCCACATTCCCTGTTGTCCCACACCTGGTGGCTTCACTCACACACTGACATGTCTTCCTATGCCCTGTAGATTAGTGGGATCCCAGGTCTTAATGTTTCACGAGCCTGTGTTGGTTTGACTACTATCTCTCACATTCATGCAGTAGTTTGCAACTGTAGTCTTCAAACTTTATCCCATTTTGGTTCAAGAAACATTACTTAGGTACTAGCTGTATGTTGAACCCCTTCAGGAGACTCAGCCTATCCTGGGAAGAGACCCCCAGGGCAACCCTTTGAAGATGAAAACACTGGGGCTAGGAGACTCTAGGTGATTTTTCCAGGGTCTCAGAGTTAGGAAGTGGTGTGGACAGGCTCTGGACCCAGTTCTTCTTTTTCTATAATACCTGTCAGGAATTTAAAGAAGGCCGGACCCTGTGTACCAAAATAGTGCCACGCCCTCACAGGAGATTTACTAGCCTCATGGTTGTAAGGATGCCTTGTCTCCCAACTTAATGGTGGCCCTTCCCTGTCCAATTTTCACTTTGCAAAATTGTCAGCTGACTCTGGCCAGCCTGGGACCATGGTTAAGACTGTCTTGAAAGGCTCTTGGGGAGGTATAGATAGACCCATGGAGAAGACTGAATTGTGTGACTGTAGGATGAGGTCCATTTTCCCCTTATATGCCCAAATGGCACCACTTACTTGTGCAAAGACCTCCCTTTGCATGGCTAAATCTTGGGCTTCTGGGGGTTGATGAACTCTGCTGACCTCATTCTGATGACTGCCTAGACCCTACCTAACCACAAAGGTCTGCAGGCTCCTGGCAGGTGGTAGTTGGCCTTGGTGTATCCTGAGACTTTTGCTGAGTGGCCTCAGACCCTGCTTTGTTGCTGAGTTTGAGTCTCTATGAACCTGGTGGGCACCCTTGTGAACACCACTAGCCCCTACCTGGTGACTCACTAAGAACGTACTTCATGCAACTCATGTACTGCCAGAGCTTAACAAGCAGCCAGTAGGCAGAGGCAGATCTTGGACCTCTGATATCTTGGGTCCTTTGCTGACCAGCTCGATGCTAATGGGAGATTGCCTTAGCATGTAGCCTGCACACTGTCTGCCCCCCACACACACGTGTACCCAGGCCAAGCAGAGGCAGCCACAAACTGTCGATTGCTTTGTAGCTCTAAACAGGTAGCCCAGGGTCAGTCACAGGAAGCACCTGACATTCACCTGCACCAGAATCTCTCCCAAGAAGCCCCAGAAATAACACACATAATACCCTTCAGATCACATCAGAACATAACCCAATTAGTTTCACAATCAGCACATCCAAAGGGAGATAGATCTTGACAGCCACCAGACCCTGCTGGGGTGAATTATGCTGCATGGGGTCAGCCCCTCCACAGCAGCTTATATAGTGTGGTTGGGGGCAATCCTCATAGCCAGGCTGCAGTTCAACTTCACCCATGATGGGTCAACAGAAATCAAGGCTCAACCACAACAGGAGGACGTTCCTGGAGCACGTAGAGCAGGTTCTCAGGGAGACTGCACCACCAAGCCCAGAAGACACCTACTACATAAGACCATCATGCCAAGACTGGGGTATATAGCAGACTGGGGTATATCTATCTGATACACTGAAATAATTAAAGAAAGGCAGACAAAATGGAGAGACAAAGAAATATGTCCCAAATGAAAGAACAGGGGATTCCCCAGGAAAGAACTAAATGAAATGGAAGCAAGCAATATACCAGCTACGGTTTCAAAACAATACTTAAGAGCATGCTCAAGTAACTTAAGGGAAGAATGGATGAACTCAGTGAGAACTTAAAGATATAGTAACCATACAAGAGGACATAAAAACCATATAAAAAGGCCAGTCAGAAATGAAGAACATAATATCTGAAATGAAGAACACACTAGAAGAAATCAATGGCGAGTAAGATAAAACAGAAAATCAAATCAGTGATTTAGAAGACAAGATAACAGAAAACACCCACTCAAAGCAGAAAAAACTTTAAATGAGAATATTTTAAGGGGCTCTTGGAAGATATCAAGTGTAACAACATTCACATCATGAGGGTACCAGAAAGAGAAAAAGAGAGAGAGCAAAGGACTGAGAACCTATTTGAAGAAATAATAACTAAATACTTTCTTAACCTGGTAAAGAGAAGAATCACACAAGTCTAGGAAATGCAGAGTCCAAAAAAAAAGATGAACCCAAGGAGGCCCACACCAAGATAAATCATAATTAAAATGGCAAAGGTTAAAGACAAAGAGAGTATCTTAAAAGCTGCAAGAGAAAGATAGTTACCTACAAGGGAGTTCCCATAAGACTATCAGCTGATTTTTCTACAGAAACATTCCAGGCAAGAAAGGATTGGCACAAAATATTCAAAGTGATGAAAAGCAAGGACCTACAACTAAGACTACTCTAACAAACAAGGATATCATTTAAAATGAAAGATGAAATAAAGAGCTTCCCAAACAATAATAATCTAAAAGAGTTCATTACCACCAAACCAGTATTACAAGGAATGTTAAAGTCACTTCTTTAAGAAGAAGAAAGAAAAGAGGAACATAGTAATAAAGAATAAAGTGACAATAAATACATAACTATAAATAATCACCTTAAATGTAAATGTATTTATGCTCCAACCAAAAGACATGGAGTAACTGAATGGATAAGGAACTAAGACCTTTACACATGCTGTCTACAAGAAACCCACTTCAAAACAAAAAATACATACAAACTGAAATTAAAGGGCTGGAAAAATATATCTCATGAAAATGAGAGCAAAAAATAAGCCAGGGTATTTATACTTTTATCAGAAATAGACTTTAAAACAAAGGCTAAAATAAGAGACAAAGAAAGACATTACATGACAATTAAGGGGTCAATCCAACAAGAGGATAGAACCCCTGTAGACATTTATGCACACATAAAAACACTTAAATATATAAAGTAAATATTTTTGCTAATAAAATATATTTTTTCTATTTATTTATTCCCTTTCTTTTATTGTTGTTCAAGTATAGTTATCTCCATTTTTCCCCACCACTCCCACCCCAGCCATCCCCACTTTCCACCCTTGATCCTACCCCCCTTTGGCTTTGTCCATGTGTCCTTTATACATGTTCCTGACAGCCCTTTCCCCCTGCTCCCCACTATGCCATCCCACCTTCCTTATGGTTACTGTCAGTTTGTTCTTAATTTCAATGTCTCTGGTTATATTTTGCTTGCTTGTTGGTTTTGTTGATTAGGTTCCACTTACAGGTGAGATCATATGGTATTTTTCTTTCACCACCTGGCTTATTTCACTTAGTATAATGCTGTCCATATCCATCCAACCTGTGGCAAAGGGTAGGAGTTCCTTCTTTTTCCTGCTGCATAGTATTCCATCATGTAAACATACCATAGTTTTTTTGATCCACTCAATAGCTACAGCAATTTTGAGAAAGAAGAGAAAAGTAGGAGGGATCATAATACCTGGTATAAAATTGTATTACAAGGCCACTGTAATCAAAACGGTCTGGTACTGGCATAAGAATAGACACATAGACCAATGGAACAGAATAGAGAGCCCGGAAATAAACCCAAGTCTCTATGGTCAATTAATATTTGACAAAGGGGGCAGAAGCATAAAATGGAGGAAACTAGCCTCTTCAACAAGTGGTGTTGGGAGATCTGGACAGCTACATGCAAAAAAAATGACTTGAACACCAATTTACACCATACACAAAAATAAACTCAACATGGATAAATCTTGATGGACATAAAGGGAGAGACCGACAATGATGCTATCATAGTAAGGGATTTTAACATTTCATTGACATCAATGGATAAATCTGAATAGAAAAATCAACTAGGAAACAGCAGCCTTAAATGACACACCAAACTAGATAAACTTAATTGATATTTTCGGAGCATCTCTTCCTAAAGCAACAGAATATACATTATTTTTAAGTGCACATGAAAATATTTTCTAGGGTTGACCACATATGAGGGTACAAAACAAGTCTCAGTAAATTGAAGATTAAAATCATATCAAGCATCTTCGCCAACCACAAAGAGATGAAACTAGAAATCAATTACAAGAAAAAAAACCTAAAAAACACAAACATATGAAGGCTAAATAACATGTTACTAAACAATGAATGAACTAACAACAAGATCAAGGAATCAATCAAATTTACCTTGAGACAAATTAATATGAAAACACAATAAACACAAACGTCTTAACAGGTACATTTATAATGTTATAGACTTAACTCAAGAAATAAGAAAAACTAAAAAAAAACCCCTAAATATATACTTAAAGGAACTAGAAAAAGAACAATAAGCAAAGCTCAATGTGAGCAGAAGGAAGAAAATAATAAAAACCAGAGTGGAAATAAATAAAATGATCTAACAAAAACAATACAAAAGGTCAATGAAACCAAGAGCTGGTCCTTTGAAAAGGTAAATAATATTGATAAAAACCTTAAATTTTTTTTAAATTTTTTAAAATTGTGGTTCAAGTATTAGTTTTCTGTCTTTTACTCCCATCCCAGCCCACCTACCCAACCCTCCCCACTCACTCCCATTTCCACACCTCCCTAGTTTTTGTCCATGTGTCCTTTATACTTGTTCCTGTAAAC